GAGTGATAAGGGGGTTGTGGGGGGCAGGGATTGAGGGGCAGAGGAAGTATTTAGAGTGGGGTCTTCTGGCGGCTGGCAAGGGTCTGTGCATGGCGGCCCCTACTTTGAGTAAGGGTGGGGTCGGGCTGTGATTCAGCAAGGGGTGAGAAACGGGGGCGAGACGGCGTGGCGAATGCATGCGCCCCCCCCCCCCCGGGCCGCACCAGCCTGAGTCAAATGCGTGGCCAGCCGCAGCAGCTGTGATCCCTTGTCCTTCGCATTCCTACTCCTCGATCATTCAGGACGTTCACCATTTAAACGCGCTCGGGCCCTCAAAATCACCCTTCTACCCCACCTCCTCCCCCCCCCCCCAAAAACACAGGTCCCTGCGCGACAACACCACGCTGCCCATCAGCGTGTACCACGTCAGCGGGGAGTACGCCATGCTCAAGGCGGCTGCGGAGCGCGGCTGGCTCAACGAGAGGGACGCAGCCCTGGAGGCGCTCACGTGCTTCCGCCGCGCGGGTGAGCGGGCGCGATCACTGCTGTCAGTGGTGGCAGTAGCCAGTGCAAAGGCGCGCGTCGCGGGAACTCTGCTCGTTGCCCGGCGACGGTCCTGCCGTCGAGGCTGAGTGTTGGGGCTGGTGCTGCGTCGAGTGTGACTTGCTGCCCGCGTGGTAATGGCATCCTGCTATATTGTCTTCGAAGTGTGGATGTCTTGCTGATGTCATCTGTGCTCTGAACCGCCCCTCCCACCTGACTCCGAACCGTCATCAACGCCATACACGCCGCCTCGCCATCCACACCCCCGTCCTCAGGTGCTGACATCATCCTGACGTACTACGCGGTGCAGGCCTCCAAGTGGTTGGCAGGGGAGAAGTGAGCGGCGGGTGCGACGATGAGTGTAGATTAGGACCCAGAGAAACACGCTTGCCCGGTAAAGCCCCCGCAGTATTTTGTCGACAGGCACCAGGGGGTTGTGCCACTGCTGATCCCAGGGCACGTTTAAGTCGCCAACTGCAGGCTGAGATGCATAGCATCAATTTGAGCGTATTCTGTTACCACAGACACAAGTGTTGCATGGGGAATGTGCAACGATCTGGCCAGGCCCTTGGACTGTTGCGGCGGGTGATGGGTAACCTGGGTCTTTGTGAGAGTGCAGCGACCTAGCACGGTAGTGCTGGCACCAGGCGGAAAGCAGGCCCTTGTCTGTGCGTTCACTCGGAAGTAGGCTTGATGACCTGACTACAAGTGCTGCCAGATCAGAGATCTGCAGCTGCATTTTCATCCTCGTCATAACGTGGTTGATGGGGAGGCAGCAGAGCAATGTGGTGCACGTCCAAGCAGCAAAGCAATGATTTTTGCAGCAATGGGCTCAGCTCCTTATGACCGTACTGCGTTCGTGGCCTGAGACTGAATCGTTGATAGCTCTATCAGCACAGTGACTGCAATCAAGCCTGCGGCCTGCTGGTGCACGGGTCTCGCCGCAAAAGGGAGGCCCTCAGTGCCCTGATGGGCCAGTTGGGTGCTGTGTGCAGCTGGCCCCTGGAGCAGTATCTGCACAAACCTGCAGCAATGCGGGCCTCTGCCTGCAGCAGGTCATGGTTGCCAGTGCCAAGCGTTGCTGTGCTTGGTCTGGTTGGGGCAGATTAGCAACTCACCTTGCGCGCACACTTTGTGCAAGGCCAAACAGCACAACCTTTGCAAACAAAATGGTCCCCCGCAGCGCGGGAGGGGCGCCTCATGCAGTCAGCGAGCTACCCCGCTGACCGGCCAGAGGGGGGCAACCCGTGTTTGAAGGCACACGGGCAAGGCCTGCAACGTCTTGCCGAACTCTCGACTTGAACCTGCGGTACCGGGCAGGAGTGGCCAACAGCACCATAAGGGCACCTGTTTGGCATGCTCAAATGGCAGAGGTGCAGAGCTGCCATGTCATTTCATGGCAGGGCATCCCATGTCTGCAGCCTGCAGCGAAATCTTATAAGGAGATTCTCTTGTAAGCAGCTTGTGGGGGTCGGCTGTCAAAGTCCTTGTACATACAAGCAGCACCTGCACTTGGCAAATGTTACTTGGCGCAAAGGCGCCAAGCTCTTCAGTATCACCTTGCCTAGTAATATAATCTAACGCATACCTGGAGTGTTCCACGACACCCGATTGCAGGGGCACGATCTTGACATTCGCGGTTTGACCAGGTTCGGGCTCGCGATCCTCCACGGTAGGGGACTTTAAAGTGCAAAATTATGCATTTGAAACTCGTCCCTTGCGTCGTCTACCCGCCACGGCCTGCTCAGGGTCGTCTGGTTGGCCGCCTTGCGAAGGTGTCAGCCAATGCTGGGCAGGGGGGTTGTCGGTGCCTCATCAGTGCCTGCTCTGTATGCATGCGTATCTGGTTGGCTCATGCCAAGCCTACGAACTGTGCCGGGATATTGCCCTGGTACAAATAGGAAAGCACACAACCATCCTGCACATCCTCCCTTTGCATACAACGCTCACCATGGGGTACAACTTGCCTGTGGCGACCCCTGGTCAACCTTGGCTTGGTGACATGGGACGTTGAAGATGCGCCACACCACAGCATCATCGGGCGCTATCCTCGCCGCCGCCATGGAGGCCGCATCCATCCACGGCGCCACGGGCCGCCCGTCGCGGCGCAGCGAGCTGTGGTAAACTGCCGGGCTTTCCATGGCCATGGAGCCCTCGATACTTGGGCGTACTCCTCTGCCCCTGCCATGGGCCTCGCATCACCTGCCGGCCGGCGCCAGCCTCACAGCCAAGAACACAGCCGCAGACTGCGCCCCGCTGCAGCGGGCATCAGGTGCGGGCGGGGCAGTTGGTGGCTATGGCGGTGCTGGGGGCAGACGCTTGCGAGGAATCCGGGCTGGTGCCTGCTCGTCGCCCAGTCGCCCGGAAAGCACTACCCTGCTGCTGTGGCCAGCTAATACTGCTTATCAGCCAGTCTTCCCACCGCCGCCAATCACCTCCAGCCTTCTCTCGCCAGACCTGCAGCGCACAGCCTGCAGCTGACTCTGGCCGCCCCTTCTACTCTCCGCTTCCCGCTGCTGCTGCTTGCGCCTGCCGTTGCGGCGCCACCAATAGACCCAAGGGATTGGAACCCGCGACAGCGGCGCCCTGCCGCTGCTGCTGCTGCTGCTGCTGCTGCTGCTGCTGCTGGCACGTGCGGTAGATCTTTGGCAGCCCCACAAAGACTTTCCTGCCACACCAACATCCTTCGGCACTGCCGTGATCATGTTCTTGGTAAATGGTTCGATTTCCTTGCCTGCTGCATAACCTCGGTGCTGGACCAGCCTGCCGCCGCCGCCACCACTGCTGCCGCCGTTGCCCGTTGTTGCGTGCGCGGCGCCGGCAGACGATGCTCAGCACCGCCCTCTCTCAAAGATGGCGCCCTCCCCCACGGAGTTGAACCCTGGCGCAACGTACTCCATCAGACACGGGGACAGCGGTGCACTTATGCGACGAGCCCCAGCAGCTCACGGCCGCCCCCGCTGGCAAGCTCGCCCAGCACGACGCTCGCCGCATGCCAGCCATCACTACAAATTGCCCGACTGTTTGCAGCGTAACAGCGATATTGCAGCTGGGAATATGGACGTGCCTCGGATGCTTGCCACTCGTGTGCCCCGCCTTCTATCACAATTGTCAAAGTTGCGGTCACCAGAGGCACTACAGTACCCCACAGCCACACTACACACCCTTGGCTGTGTAGCCGAGGCGTTGTCAATTTAAGCAAGCAAGACGTTCAATTACGAAATTGAACCAATTCAGACAGCGTTGCACAGATCTGAAGTAGATCGCGATTGAAGCGGAGGCTGTCACACTCGCGGAATAGGTCATCGTCGATATGCGTAAATGATTGGAAGCATCTGCTCATCAATGCGGCATCTCGTGTGGATGAGCAGCAGCACAGCTTGGCGCATGACCTTGATGCATCCCAATGACACATGAGGCTCAAGTGCACATGCGGCTCAGGCTTGGTGGAGCGCTCACACCCGATTCGGCGCAACCAATAGTGCAGCGCCCAGCAGTGGCCTCAGACAGCGCGGCTCGCGTCGCGCTAGCATTGACCCGGGGATGCTGCAGACGCTACCGAGGCTACGGTGGCACCCAAGGCCATGGCGGCAGCGTGGGAAGGAGCCTGGTTGGGATGGTAGGCAGTGCCACGTCTTTGTTCAGGTGGGCAAGAGCCTACAGAGGTACTGAGTGGCTGTATACACAAGCTGCCGTGGCTCCTTCGTTGCCTCGCACTGTGTGCTGCCTTGCCATGTAGCTTTTGCTGCTACCAGGGTCTGACCACCCCTTGCACGCTGCATGTTTTTGGACAGCACGTCTCAATACGACTGCAAACATCTTGAGTCGACTCAATTGCCATGGCCATCTGCATGCCCAACCACCACTCAAAGATTATGACGCGTGGCGGACCAGGTGCTGTGCAAGTCTGTTGCGGCCCAACGGTGCAGGGCCACGATGCTGACGGTTTTGTGCAGTTTCGCTGTCTTGGAAGTGCGGTCATCTGATTCTGTGTCTCTCCTGTGGTGTGGCCGTTGTTGCACTGGTGAGCAAGTCTGAGTCGTGAACACGGGACTGGAATGTCCGAGCCTACCTGCCGGGTACTGGGGAGCCACATGGCAGCTGGCAGGTGGTTGTATGCGACAACTACCCACCCACCACCCCAGGATTCAAGGTCCAGGGGCGCTACAATAATGTCTGCGTTGCACGTGGGTGGGCATGCTGCATGGCATGGCATGGCGTGGCATCGCATGGCGTGTTCCATGCAGCTGCAGTGTTCCCCAACATGAGGTTCGCTCTCTCTCATGGCCCTCAGCTTTGACTCAACAGGCTTGGATCGTCTTTGGGACTCAGCAGTGGAGCGCATATCTGGAATGCAGGTAGGTGGATTGGTGGGCAATCTCGCGAAAGTGGTCCCTCAGGGCGGGGTGCAGCCTGCTGGCGAACACTCTCAACCCAGACACGATATAGTAGGCATAGGGGGCAGCAGCCGACCACCGCCCTCATGGACTCCCCACTCCATCGGACTCTCCAATCCGTAGGCCCCCCACCGCATGGCCCCGTTAACAATCAGGACATGCGCCGTCACGCATGACAGGGTCGGCGTTGCATGCGCAAGCTTCACTGTTTGCGCCTCAGGTGGGCCAGCGCACGTGTTTGGGGCGGGAGCGGCGAGTGCAAGGGCCGCAAACGCAGCCGCTGTCTTTTGCATGCATATAATGGCCCCGACCCGCCTTTCTGCGCCCTTCACCTTCCAGGGATCGGAGCAGCTTCGACGGGTTTGCGGGAAGCCCGCTGATACTCTGCTCGCGGCCCTCAGAGTCGATCATATGTAAGTAAAACCCATATTTCCATGCCTTACATGGCCGAGATCATTCAATTGTATCGCGGCAGATTTTGACCTTGAGCTGGCGGGTCCATCAACCAAGGCCCCTCATGCGACGCTAAGTTGCCTTCAAAGTCACTAGAAAACTTGTGCAGGCCATGGCACCGCGTGTCGAGCGTGGCGCAGGTCCGCTGCTGCGTGCAGTGCGAGACGCGCCATGCATGTTTGCAGCCTGGCTCTTCCTGCCATGGTTTGTATACTGCAACGGCGGCGTGCGCAGCATGATCCAGATGGCTGCTTGCGCTTATCGGGCGCGCCGGGCCCGCGGGCCGCGCCGCAGCGCAGTAGAGAAGACTCGATCCAAAGGTGAGATATGCGACGTGCTGGTACAGCAGCGCCAGCGAGTGCGGGCGCATGGGCGCACACAACGCCTGCGTCGATTGGGTCCCAGGCGCAACAGGCACCACGCAGCCTGTTATGCATCTAGCAGCTGCTGGCCTGTGCAGCATCCCATGGGTTCTGGCCAGAAGCACGTGCTTGCTGGTGCTGCATCGCCCTCGACCAACCATATCCACCCTGCTGACCAGCACCCCGGGCCACCTACTCCCCAGAGAATGTCTGCTTTGCGGGAGACATCCATGGTTCTCCATGGGGCCTCGTGCGCGTCGTGCGGGAGTTCCTGTCGGAAGACGAGGCCGCCAAGACCGCCGGGAAGCCACCTCCCCTGCTCGTCTTCTCGGGCGATTACGTCGACCGCGGGCGCTTCACATGGCACGTCCTCGCCCTGCTGTACGCGCTCATCATTGAGTTTGGCGAGGACCGGCTGGTGATGCTTGCGGGCAACCACGAGTCCTTCCCGCACCCCAAAAGCCACCACCCTGGCGCGCCGCAAGGCTCGCGCCACCACACCCTCCACGCCGACCTGCTGAGCGGCCTCGGCCTGCCTCAAGACACCCCCGTGCCCTCGATGAAAGACATCGGCGGGAAGCTGCAGGGCACCACCCCAGCCGGCCTGCCGCAGCTCATGGACCGCGTGGCTGCGGGCGAGGAGGAGATCACCCTGACCACGGCGCACCAGGTCATATACGGCATGTTTGCGCACCTGCCTATCGCCTTCAAGGTGCGGCGGCCCTCGCACAACTTGTAGGGATTGGGCGTGGTGGGCAGGCCTGCGCAAGGTTGAGGGCAGGCGCAGTGCAAAACAAGGGATGCAATGCTGGCCTGCCCTGCAGGAGCCCTCCTGGGTCCGGCCGATGTTAAGGAGCTCGGCAGTGCTGCTTCTCCCATCCAGCAATCAGCTCCAGCTTGCAGTTCCCTCATGAGGCTGTGATCACAGCCTGCTCATCCTCAACCACACGTCAACCTCCCTTGCCCATGTTGCCGTGCTGTCCTCTGCCCAGTCCTACCTCCACTCAACCTTCCCACCCCCCTCTTTCCGGCCCCCTCACCTTGCTGCGGCAGCTGGGAAACCTCATCTTCGTGTGTCACGCCGGCCTCCCGCGGTACAGCACCTTCAAGTGCACCGGCTTCGGCGGGCTGTGGGCTGAGTATGTTTCGCTGGACCGCCTCTCCCCCGACCGCGACCTGGTGCTGGTGCCGCCGCCGGGGTCACACGAGGCGGCCACACCAGTAGGGGACCTGGCTGCCTGCTGGGACTACGGCGTGGCGCGGGCACACCTCGCGCACTGCGCGGAGCACAAGTACACCCTGCTGACCGCCGAGGACGCGGAGGCCGTGCAGCGCGGCGACAAGGCGGCAAGCGACGTGCCGGACCACATGGAGTGGGCCAAGCGCGCCCTTGGCATCGCCTTTGACGCCCAGGTGGGCGTGGGGGGGGGGGGGCTGGGGTCCCACGAGTGCGCAGGGCTCAGCGCGCCAATCAGAGGACGGCGGGGCCCGTAGCCTGGTGGCAGAACGGCGCGCCACGTGTTGCAGCGCCAGGCATCAGAGCTCAGCCCACACTTCCGGCGCTCTTGCTTTCTGTCTTGTCGGCCCTCCTCACGACGACTCACTTCATCCCTCCGGCGCAAACGCCCACGCCGACGCATGATCCGCAGTGGGCAGACAGCGCCGCCATGCGGTCGGACATCCCCGAGAACAGGCGCGCGTTTGATGTCGACATCTTCCAGGCTGGATCCAGGGCCGCGACGGGCTACACTGCGTGGAACCGCAATATGCAGGCAAGTAACTGCAAGGGATCTGTGAAGAGGTGCAAAGTAGCGTTGACCGGCCGCGTGCGCGCTTGGAGAGCATAGCGCGAACGGGGTGGGGATGGAGGGGGGTGCTGAAGAAGAGGTGAAGCAAGGCTTTTTTTGACAAATCAGGGCTGCACTCTCCCAGCTGTCCCTTTCAAGGTGTCGTGCAGAGCGTCACCACGCTGCTCAGGCTTGCCCTGCATGCTTGTGCCTCCCTTACCCGGGCACGCCTCACTCACATTTCGCCCTGACCTCATACTTCCACTCGTTCATATTCCCACTCGTTCTCAGGACCTGGACGTGCAGCACGTCATCACGGGCCACGTGCTGCCGCACACCCTGGGCTACGCATGGCAGGGCGGCCGCTTCAACAGCAGCGTTGTCCTCCACACAGCGGCCAACTTCACAAACATCCTGGGCGCCGGCGCCGGCGCCGCCATGCTGCGCAGCGGGGCCGCCCTGGAGCTGGTGACGGTCGTCAGCGGTGACGAGGGCGCCGCCTGCGACGCGGCCGCTGTGGTTCTGACGGGGCTGCTGGGGCCGGAGTGGGACCATCGGCACGCGGAGATCGCGGCCGCTGTGGAGGCCGACGGCGGCGTGTTTGGGGAGGAGGCGCTCAGGCTGTTCAAAGCCGCGCTGAGCAGCGCTCTGTCAGACCTCGCCGCCCGTGGTGGCCGCGGGCTGCTGGAGCTGCTCTTCACAAATGGGCTGCTGCCGATGCTGCGCCAGACCGAGTTCCTGGCGCCGGGCTTCGACGCAGCAGCAAACGGCGACGCCTTTGCGCGAGCGGAAGCAGTGGCGGGGATCGCCCTCCGCCGCCTGGCGAGCCTGCAGGCTTTGGCCAGAGACGCCGGCGAGGGTGGCAGCGGAGGCAACGGCGGCTTGGGCATGGCCCAGCACCTGAGCTATGCAGCCAGCAAGGAGGGCTCGTCCCTGATCAGGGGAATGCTGCAGGCAGCGCTGCAAGCTGAGCGAGGACAGCCATGGGTGGAGACGCTCACGTGGTGCCACGAGAAGTGCCTGCAGGCGCGCCAGCAGCAGCAGCAGCAGCAGCAGCAGCAGCAGCAGCGAGGGCCCCCTCGCAACGCCGACGTGCGCGGCCCGGCGGCGGGCGCGCTCACCGCGGCTGCCTCCCACACCGCCTATCAGCTGCCCGATGGGAGCTCTCCTGGCGGTGGCGGCGCCAACAAGCGCAGGGAAGATGGCAGGCAGCAGGGGGAGCCGCGTGCAGTGCGTCCCAGGGTTGGGCAGGGGCTCGCGGGGGCGCAGGAGCGCAGCAGTCAGCAGTCAGTTGCACCCCAAGAGCAGCTGGCACCCGGGCCAGCCGCCAGGGCAGCCGCGCCAGCCGCGCCGGTGGTGCAGGCAGTGGTGGCGCAGCAGCCGCCGATGGCGGTGGCTGCGCAGCCGCCGATGGCGGTGGCTGCGCAGCCGCCGGCCGTCGCCCTGCAGGTGGCGGCAGCGGCGGCAGGCCCCGCCGGGCAGGCAGGCGGCGGCGGGGCTGGCGGGGACGGCATCGAGCCGTGGCACAGGCAAGAGACGCCTGTCATGGTGCTCGACGCCATGGCGGTGCACGGCCCAGCAGCCCACGACGGCGCGCTTGTGCGTGGAGGGCCCGCCGTGGCGCCCGACAAGCTGCAGAAGTACTTCAAGGATGCGCCGGACCGGGGCCTGGTCACTGACGTGGATGTCAGCAATACGCAGAAGCTGGCCGAGGCGGTGGCGAGGGGCTTGATCGCCCCCGACGTGCGCATCGTGCATGCCAGGAGCTCGCGCAGGATGACGCGGTGCGTGACGAAGGAAGGGGTCATTGAAGTGACGGTGCCGGAGGGCGGGCGGGTGCAGTACATGGTCTACACCGCCCGGTACCCCCACCCCTATAAGGTGAGCCCCTCAATCAGGGAGTGCTGTGCTGCCAGCATGATTGGCTGTTGCTCACACGTGGCATTCAGAAGGTTTGTGGAGTTTGTCCCTGTCGTAGGCAGACGCACCCAACTTCACAGCCTCCCACCTGCCGCGCAAAAATCCTTGCCAATCACCTCGACAGGACGAGCAGGTGATGGCGACCTGCATGAACTCCAGAGCGTCGCGCCGGCTGGCGGCGTGGCGCGTGCTGCTGCTGCTGATGGCGGAGGAGCAGCTGCTCGACGGGGCGCCCCAGCTGCGCGCCTGGTTCGCAAGGCAGGCGCTCGTGCAGGGCGAGGTGACGCTGCTGGCCAGTGCGGTCAACGGGATCGGCCCATGATGGTGTGATCCTGTGTGCTTGCGTTTGGCAATCCAGGGTGGCACCATAGAGGTTCTAGGTCAGCGGTGCGAAGGCCTTGCATCACAGGCGCCGTGCCTGTGCCCAAGCTGGCGCGCCTTTGGCTGCTGCCTATCTTGCTTCTCTGCTGGCTCAAGGCCATGGCGGCCAGGTGCTTTCTGGGCTTCTGGGCTTGCGGTTCATTGGCTGTCTTGCACAGCAGTGTTTGTTTCTGGCCCCTGCCCCCCCCCCCCAGGTCTGACTGCTGCCCGTTGGTGCGGACTGCTAGCTTCGTGCCCCATGGTGTGGCGTTCGCCAGGACCAGGCATCAGCTGCGCTGCAACTTGGTATCTGAATGCCCCGAGGTTTGCCTTCTGCGCCCCTCTCTCCAGCGTGCTCAAGTGTTCGCTTGACCCATGTGTCTGCAGCTCCAGTGCGCCAACCTGGGCGGCGTTGCAGCGTGCGCTGTAAATGGCGCGACACTCTCATCTTTTGATTTAGCGCCCGCTTTCCTGGCCTTTAACCTTGGCAAATCGCTAGGGGCGATGCATGTGTGCGCCTTACTTTTGCAACTGTTGAATTGCAGCGCCGTTCTCTTTCCTCTGCTTGTCTGGCCTCTCTGTGCGCTAGCATATGGCGCCTTGCCTCTGTGGTGAAGTAAATTGCCTGCTACCCAGCAGGGTTTTTGGAGGTCGGCGCGTGAGAGTGCTGCCCCGGGGGACGGCGGGCTGGTGGCACTTGGCTGGGTCTGGCAGGCATTCCTCTTCAGGCTGAGTAATGCTTTCATCACCCCATTTGTCTTGGCGGGCGTCAGTCGAGCGTCAGCCGTGGTGGGCGATAAAACATTCCGATGTGATGATCCCAGTCATATGATCTCGTCACAGCAGCACAAACACGGGGCAAGAATCCAGAGCGCCAGCGCAGCGAGCATATCACAGTGGAATCGGCGGGGCCATGTGGTCAGCTCGGCGACACCTGAGTCTGGCCCCAAAACCCGTATATGAGTGGCCAGCATCGCAGGTCACCAGCATTACCTAACAGTAGCGCAAAATAAGCTGATTGCCACGAAGCACGCAATGACTGTTAGGTTTTGTCCGCTCCACACCGTTTGACAAGCGCAAGGGCGGACCCTTGACCATTTACTAGAGAGAGCTCAATGCTCTGATTTTGATCTGAGCGCCAGTCGATGCAAGCACGTCATCGTGCCACAAAGAAGGTCAGCGTCCAATTGCGGCCCTGCCGCACGCAGGCAAGCCGTGACGTATGCCAAATGCACGTGCGTGCGTGCAC